ACTCCGCTATGTATATGCAAAATACAGCCGGACTTAACAGACATCCCTGTCTTAAACCTTTTAAAGTCCAAAATTCATCCGGAAGACCCTCGTTACCTCGACCTTACCTTTGTCTCAGTTTATAATTCTTTGATTCCACTTATTAAATTTTACTAAATCCCTTCTGCTCAATATTATCCACAGTTTTTCCCTGTTCACCGTGTCAAATGCTGCATTAAAGTCCACAAACAGAACAAATACTTTATCTTTCCTTCTTATTAAGTCTTCCCTTTGCACTATATGATTCAAAATGAAAATATTATCCAAAGTCGATCTACCTTTCCGAAACCCCGCCTGCCTCTCCGGTAACACCCTCTTTTCTTCTATTTTCACTAACAGCTTCACTTTTAGGATTTCTGTATACAACTTATAATCCGTAGGAAGCAAGGATATTCCTCTGTAGTTTTTGGGGTCATTACTGTCCCCCTTCTTATACAAGGGGACTACTACCGCTGTTTTCCAAGCTTCCAGAACCCCTTTCCCCTCCATACTTTATTTAGTAACTCCTTTAACTTATCCTTAACTCCTGTCTCGGCGTAGATCCAAGCTTCGTTCGGTATCCCATCGTGTCCCGATGCCTTTTTTCTATTTAAATTTCTAATTGCCACCTCTACATCTGCGTTATTTATGCCCTCTTCTTTATTCCTATTAACTCGTTCGTTTTCCCATAAAACTACACATTTCTTTCTTTTGCCTCCTGTTGACGTTTTAAGTCAATCGAATTATTGACTATCATACGCAGAGTAACTGCCACAAATTTTGCCATGGTTGATAGTAAAGAAAAGGGAAACAAAATAAACTGCAAGAACAATTTTCTTAACTCATGAAACGAAATTGACTTTATTTGTTTTACCTTTCGAAAGGTCTCGAATAATATAGTTGCCTGGCCACTCGCAAAACACTCACCTCCTATCTCTTCTTAGTAAATTTACAAAATACCTGCGCTGTGTTACTAATCTCGGTCGCAGATGTTGAGGTGAGACGAAGGCCTTGATTTGACGAAGAAAAAACGATGTATTTGTCGGTGCCTCCAAAAGGCTGCTCGTTGCTGATGAAGTCCACGGCAATTGATAAGTTGTAGTTTTGTCACTCTCTCGAATCTCCAAGTTCGAAGAAGAGTCGACTCCGTGGCTTCCCAGTCGCTTGCTCCGGCCGAAACAGGACGAAAAACTGAACTCGAATAAGCCTCGCACCATCGACTACCTCAAGAAATTTTCCCCCACTCATAAGGAAAAGCGAGCTACCCTTGTCTAGTTAATACCTAACAACACACAGACTCACACGGAGAGAGCATACCTACTACTCAAATTACAAATTTACTCTCTACTCTTACAGCTCTCTCTCTCTCTCTCTTTCTCATACATCCGAACAATAATTTATATAATAAAATACGATTGTTGTCACACGTTTGTCGTACTGTTGTCCGAAAATTCTAATCCTTCGAACCCATTTCCTTTTGTCATGTTAGCTTTGAAAAATCCGATTTCCAGTTTCAGTTGCCAAAAAAGAATGCTCAGTTTCACTTTTTTTTCATCAATTATAACTCACTTTATATGTATAAATGTATGATAAATAACTGCAAGATAATTTAATTCCAAAAAACTTAATTAACATTCATTAGAAACAAAACA